TCCTTAGAAAAGAGGGTCATGCGTCCACAGGCCCTGCTGAGTAATTCCCTCTGTTTTTGCGTCTGCTGACAGGGCGCCCCCGTTCCCTCCCTGTGACTGGATACGCGGGCCTTTGTTTCCTCCCCGGCACCAGGAAATGGCTTTGTCTCCAAAGCACCACCTGACGGCGAGTCTTCCGATTTGATGGCCTTCTGCCGTCGGCACAGGTCCTTTCCCGAGTGACTGGAGGGCCCCACTTCGCTGGGCTTTCCTCTGCTGTCCCTCCGGGTGCTGGTGCCGGCTCCTCCTTTCCTCTGGGCCCCGCCGGAACGCCCACGGCCCGCGGTTCTGCCAACAGCTCGCTTCTGGCCTCGGGGGAGCCGGCTGAGGCGACATAGGTTTTCCGCGCCATGGTCCTCTTCCGAGTCCTCTTCCGAGTCCTCGCTAGGCGGGTTGTGAGCACCCACAGATCCACCGACAACCTCTTCAAGGCGGCCTGGGCTTCCTCTGTCTCGCCGCTCAAGATGCCCCCGCCCGCGCCAGCCCCTAACTCAGAGCCAGCCCCTCTGTCAGGTCTGGCAGAGCGACGCCCGTTCCCGGCACCCGCGGCGGGATTTCTACGTTTTCATTGCAGCAGGCACCTCATTGGTTGACTCTACAGCGCTACGTCATCCAGTCGGCTGTTCTTAGACAGTTGTTTTCAGCTTGGAAGAACGAGCCTTTGTAGGAAACCTTGAGGAAAGGTGCTCTTACGCCTCTCACGTAGCCGTCTGGGCGTGGAACGGCCTCCAGGGCCCAGCTTTTCCCGCTCGGTCGCGCCCGGGCGGCCGCGGCCATGCCGCCTCTGGAGGCTGGGGCTTTCCTCTTCATTAATCCCGATTCCGCCCATGAAGTTCAGGTGCATCTCCCACCCTCGCCGGGACCTGAGCCTTCCCCTCCGTTGCCTCGGCCCGGGTTCCGAAGACCTTCCTTACTTCCGAAAGCGCGGTGCCTTGTTTGGGTGAGCTTTGGTTCACCCTGTAACTTCAAGATTCGCCCTATTTCTAGCACCCTGTCTTGCTCCTTAAAACGAATTTTTTTTTTTTTAAATTTTAGAGAGGGAAAGGGAAGGAGAACGAGAGGGAGGGAAACGTCGACATGAGAAAGAGATTGGCTGCCTCTCCAACAAGCCCCAGCTGGGGACGCAGCTGTGTGCCCTGACTGGGAATTGAACTGGCAGCCTTTGCACGTTGTGGGTTGATGCCCAACCCACTGAGCCACACTGATCAGGAAACCCTGTCTTGTTCTTGACTCCAGCAATGCATTAAATGTGTCTTGGGAGTAAAGCTTTAGCTCCCACTTCCGTACGCCTGCAGAAGAAGGGTGAACGTACTTTTGCATCAGCTCAGACCAGCGTAAGAGGTCTCACAGTTGACGCTGAACCTTCGTGGAACAAGCCTTTGGAGCGAGTGACATGGATGCGCTCACTTTACACACGAGCTGACTGAGCACGAGGGATGTTAGGCCGCCCATCTGAAGTCTCGTGAGGAGAGCCAACGTTTTAAAGCCATTCACACCTTCCAGGGGCACGCGGAGGACACGGGCCGTCTCCTGACGCGGGCGGGAGCGGTAGAGGGAGAATGACTCCGTGGGAGGCGCTGCCTGAGAGGGGGTCTCGGCGCCACCACTGGCCTGGTGGTGACTGCCACAGTGCCGAGGGCGGTGACACTGGTTCAGCACCTAGGGCAGTGCCTGCTGCGTGCACTGTGTGCACCTGTTTGGGGCTACGAACGTTCTCGATGAAATGACGACAATTTCCTCTGCTTTTAGAGTTCCTTCCCCCTCCCACTGTGGCGTACGGCGCTGCAGGCGGCTTCCGCGCCAAGCCCCTGGAACGGGCGGGCAGCCCAGCGGGTGCGGCTCAGCTGGCCGAGCACCGGCCTGCGCGTAGAAAGGTCGCCTGGTCGATTCCGGGTCCGGGCAGGTGCCTGGGTGGCAGGCCAGGTCCCCAGTAGGGGGCGTGCATGAGGCAACCAGTCGACGTTTCTCCCGCACATTGATGTATCTCTCTCACATCGATGTTTCCCTCCTTTTCCTGTCTAAAAGATAAATAAATTAAAAAAAAAAAAAACCCAAGTGGGCAGACCACATTTCTTGGATGCAGAGCGTCGAGGAGCAGCTGCGCCTCGCAGCACTGGGGGCTGTGATGCCGCCTCTGGCCCTGGCAGCCTGGGTCTGCATTCCAGCCTCTGCGCGGGCCAGCTCTGCCACCTGGGTGTGCCGCGCTTCTCCGGCCTCGGTGGCCTGTAAAAGGAAGATGATGGCACTGGTTCGCAAGTCTGTGGTGAGGACTTGGTGACTCTGCAAATAAGCAGCACTGAGCAGAGTGCTCAGCACACACCGGCACTCAGTCCACGTCCATTCGGTCAGTGAGGTTAGTGCTGGGTGCTGTTCTCCGAACGTTTCTGGCTCCGTCTCCCGGGCACGCAGTAGGGCCGCGATTCTGGTTCCACTGTGGAGGGTGCGGCCACGTCGCTCATTCTGGCCCAGGAGCTGTGAACGGCCTTGTGTCGCTTCTGGACCGGATGCTCCCTCCTGCCAGACGTTCCTGGGCGCTGTCCCTTGGTCTCCATGGTGATGGCAGCGCGGTCTTCCCGCGTTTCCGTGCGCCAGCGATGAGCATGACCTCTCTGTGGTTCTGGGCCTTGGAGACTGGACACCGTTCCTGCAGCGTGGTGACACAGCCCACCCTGACCGACGCGGGACCCATTATTCGTAGCTCTTGCGTATCCTGCTCCCGGCATTTCAGCAACTTTTTGGAAAGGTCCTCGGCAGGACGTGGAAATCCTTGCGTCTTTGCCGGCTGACTGACAGAGCCCCTCTCTGCATGCGCACCTGGGCGGGGGCCCGCGTCTGCGTCCTGTCCTGCATGCGGGTGCTGTCGGCGGGCAGGGCGGTTCTCGCGCCCCCAAACGGGAGGCGGCACAGGTAACCCCTGTGACCCAAAGACAGCGGCACAGCCTTCCAGGAGTTGCATCCTTGCCCTTGGTCGAAAGGTCTTAAAAACCAGAAATTCCGTTCCCTGTGTATTCGCCCCGAATGACGCAGAAACAGCGTACGGGTTCACCCTCCTCGCGGGGCGCTACAGCAGTGGCCGGCAGACGGAGTCCGGCCCGCGCTCCCTCGAACTTCCCAGCCATTAGAGGCATCGGGGCTCCCTCTTCGGGGCACACAGAGCCAACGGCTCTCCTCCCTTCCTTCCAGGACACCTACATGTCCACCTCAAATACTCGCTTTGCTCTGGTCCTCCGTTCAATTCAATTCGGCCAGGGACTTGGAGCGGGGACCCACCCCAGGCCATCCCTGTGTCCCCTCCCCAGCCCTCCTCCCCCTGCCACACAAACTTCAATGCCTAGAAAATACTCAAGAAATGTTTGAGGGAGTAACATACTCCCTCAATTGACCTGCACAGTGGGATCACCTCGGGGAGATTTCTTAAAAATCCCAAATCCAGGCCACACCCCAGACAGATGAAATGAGAACTTGGGGGTGGACTCCAGGCAGGGGGTATCTGGACGCTCGCCACCGAGACCCAGAGCCACTGAGCTCCAGGCTGCGCCACCACACAGCTGTTCTCAAATAATGTCTCATTTTACACCTGTATAATGCTTTACAGTTTCTAAGGTGCAATGACCTTTCCAATGTTTAATGGAGATCTTATCTACCGGGGAAGAGTGATAGGTAGCAAATACCAAGAAGTTAGCTCTCTCTGTATGTGGCTGGGGAAGGGGGACTCAGGGAGTCAGGGACAGTGCTGAACTGAGCAAGTCACTTGATGGGATAGCAGCTGAAAGTGGCGGGGGCGGGGGGCGGGAGGAAGCGGCAGGAGACGGTGTGCACGTCGCAGGACCCTGCAGTGTCCCCGTGGGACTCAGGAAAGGAGTATCTGCCCAGCTGGAGAAGGGGGACAGCTTCCTGGGCTCTGGGGTGTGTGCGTGTGGGGGGCACCGTGGAGTGTGCCAGCTCACACGCATGTCCTGGTGTGCGGGCGCCAGAGTGTCCTGAGCGTGGCGGCCTGTGAAGGAGGCAAGGTAACCAGCCACGTGGGGGCCCTTCCTAGGGCCCAGTCAGGGGCCTGGGTGGGTGGCTGCGTAGCGCCCGGGCGTTGGCTGGAGCCCCCGCTGGCGCGTCCCGATGCTGACCTGGAAACCAGGCCGCCCCGGTGGAGCACGGCCAACCTCTGCAGCTTCCTCCTCGGCCGTTTCTGTTCCCGCTCCCTTCGCCCCGGGAAGACCCCGGCGTTTGCAGCCCTCGGCTGGCGCAGAGCCTTTGCGCCCCGCCCCCCGCAACTTCCTGTCCCTCCAGGACCAGCTCGGGCTCCCCAGTCCCGGGCTCCCTCGCCCCGCAGGGCCGGGACCCTCCTCCGCGAAGCTCCCGCAGCCAGGGGACAGCCTTCGGGAACAGCCAGGGCGCTTCCTCCCTGGCGGTCCCCGGTCCCTCGGTATCCGGGAGGTCCCCGGTGCGCCCTCTTCCCCTGAGCACGCAGCACCGGCCGGCCTAACCTCCAGCGGCCGCCAGCAGCCTCGAGTAGGGGAGCGCGTAAGTGAGCGGGGAAGCGCGTGAATGGAGCTTGGAGGGCAAGCGAGCACGGGCGTGGGTGGAGGAGCGAGTGCTGGGCCGGGGCGCGCGTAGACCAATAAGGAAGTGACGCGGCGCAGGCGAGGGCGTGCGCGTGGGATGAATGAGTGAGTCGGAGGGGGTGGTGATGGCCAAGCGAGGGCACGTGGCGAATGGGCGGTGAGCCGGCGGGGAGAAGCGGCGCACGCGGGGCGGCTGGAGCGCGCGCCCGTCTGGCCTGGGCCACGTGGCCGGGGCGGGGCCGAAGTGCCCAAACGTGGGCGCGGCGAGGAGATGTGGGCGGGGCCCGGCCGGCAAGGGCCAAACCGAGCGTGAGGGGCCTGGTGAGGCGGGGAGTGGGCGTGGCGAGGCTGGGCCCAGGCGAGGAGGGCGGGAGCGGAGGAAGTCACGTGCAGCGCGCTCACATGACTGGCGGTGCGATGGACCCGCTGCCCGCGGTGGCAGTCCCCGCGGCAGTTGAGGCGGAAGCAGACGAGGAGGCGGATGCCCCAGCGGCAGGTAAGACGGTCGGGCGGGGTGACGGCGCCCCGGGCCCGCGCTCCCGGGGGCCCCGCGGTCCTCGGCTCACTCCTGCGCCGGGCGCCCGCGCCCCGCTGGGCGCCCTCTGCCGCTCCCAGGGGCGCGCGCGGCTCCGGGCGCTCAGGCTGCCGCCTCGGGTCCTGGGACCCGGGCACCTGTCCGGGTTTGCACTTGGCCGCGCGCTCCTGCCCCCGTCTGCCCGGGGCGGCCCTGACCCCTGCGGGTGGCGGGCCCGCCCGCCGCCCGCTTCCCGCGCGGCCGCGTGCGCACCGCGCCCGGACCTCCGGGGCCTCGGATAGGTAACCTGGCCGCTCAGGACTTGCGTGTTTTCTGTAAATGGTCGCATTTGTCTATAAAGGCGTGCAGGAGGCTTGGGTTTTCTAGTGGGGCCCCTGTTGAAATGTAACCCCCTGTATCCCTCGAACTGCAGAATGACACGTAGGTGGAATGTGGTGGGACTCTCTTTTTGGCGGGGGCACGAAGTTGGGGAACTGTGCCTGCGGGTCCGGCGAGGTTCACCCCGAGGAGGCCACGCTTACAGTGAGCTCTTGCGGGGCTCTTAGTTTATTCGGTAAGGAGTGGCGTTGAAACTGCCTGGGTGTGTGTGTTGGGGGGGGGGCATTGTATTGAATTGGCCTAATTGCTAGGAAGACCCCGGATGAGTCTCAGTCTGGATGGCAGTCTGCCCTCCCACCGCCCTGATGGGTCGTCAGTTTTTTCCTTTTCTCTCGGAGCTGAGTAAGGGGAAGCATGTGACAGCTCTCACCCTTGGTTGGAACATTGTGTTCAAGAAGTCGCACGTTGGAGCCCAGCGTGGGCCAGTCGGCCCCACCTACACCAGGGCCCTCCGCTGGACCCCTCGGCTGTGTCACGCTTGGAAATGGGGGGCGGTGATTCCGTAGGAACACTCTTTGCTCTCGGCCGTAAAGCAGTTCAGAGTTCTGGGTGTGGTGGTGGCTCAGGGGTCCCTTCTGTGCGGCGTAGGGGCTGTGCTGGGTGTTTCCTAGAGGACCCGCTCACTGCCAGCTTCGTGTCAGGTGAGGACACCCTCACCCAGACTCACTTCCAGGGACTTCCCGGGACTTCCCAGGCAGGAGACCGTCCTTGGCCCCGCGGTGATGCTGTCAGGTGCGCTCGAGGCCCAGGCAGTGGAGCGTGTCTCAGTCTCCAGAGCGCTGGGCTACGGCTGGGAGAGTCTCGCCGTGGGGCCCCGGGCGCCGGTGGACACAGCGTGTCATCTCGTTCCGTGCAGTGAGGCAGGCAGGCAGGCGCCGGAGTGGGCAGGCCCTCTGTGCACCAGGAGGCGACTGGTGTGCCCAAAGAGGGCACGGTTAAGGGGTGTGTCGCAGTGGCGGTTGGGTTGGGTGGGCTGGAGTCTGAAAACCTCAGCCTTTGAGAGTGAGTTTTGTCCGAGGACGTGTGTGCATCTCTCTCTTCGGCACAGGTCGATTTTAAGGGATTGTGCACGGCTGGCGCCCACCCTTGGTATTAATTGTGGGGACTGTAAGGTCTCAACCTGGAGGGCCTGTGGGACTGTCGGGAAAAATTACTGTGTTCCCTGTGGTTTTCGGCACTTGCTGTATTCCTGGGCTTTGAAGTGCAAGCTGTGGGTGGCACTTCCCTTCCTAAGGACTTAGCTTTTCATTACGCGGTTCAGGGACAAACACCGTTTCTTTGAAAGGAAGCACATTCTAGGCGAAGCCGAAGTCCCACCCCGGCTGCAGTCGCCCCCTCTTGCTTCATCAGAGGAGACTGTCGTTCTCAGCTTGGGATGGGTCCTTTCAGTTCTGTTTTTATGCTTTGTGTGCACCCAGAAAACACAGCCTCCTTGTCCACACTGCCGGTTTTCCCGGGGTCGTCTACTGGTCTCCTCCCGCTGCAGTGACAAGTCAGCCCACATCTGGTGGCTTGAACACCGCCAGGGTATCCGTACCGGGTTCTGCTGGTTGTAGGGGAAAATGGGTTTTCCTGGGCTCATGCCCAGGCGAGGCCAGGGCCGCGTTCCTTCTGGAGGCCTGGGGAGGGGTCTGTTTCCTGGCCTCTGCCGCCCGTGGCCGACGGCGCCCTGTCCCCGGCAGCCCCGGGCCCCCTCTTTCTCGTGCTTTCGTCTCGGGCTGTCCCTCTCGTTCGTCCCCTGTCCTGCATGGAAGGGCTCCTGGGGCCGCGGGCCCCCCTGCGAGTCCACGCCCCTCGCCCCAGGTGGAGGCGAGGCTGCCGCTCCCGTCCCCTTTGCCATGTGACCAGCCAGATGCGCTGGTCCTGGGGGTCCGCGGTGCCGACCGCCGGGACGCGGACGCGCCGAGAACGGACTTGCTGGGCCGCAGGTCTTGCGCACACGCGGTTCGGCGGGCGCTGATGCCCCTCTGGGGCAGCGGTGGCCAGTTTATGCGTGCGACAGCGACGTGGCGAAGACGCCCTTCCCCGTGAGCTCATGAACCCCAAACACCATTTTTCACTCGTTCCTTATTTTAACTTTTTTTTGCAATACCATTTTCTAAACTCCCTTCGGACTTAGAAAAATGAAGAAAGCGTTTCATTTTTGTTTTGGTTGGTGCCTCCTTGACTTTAAGTTCATCGCGGTTTAGCTTCTTGGAACAATTTTACTTTGGATGACCACTCTGAACTGACTGGCTCTGTTTTTTGCCCATTCTCTTACGGGGTTGTCTTTTTTCTTGTTGGCTTATAGCAGTTCTTTTTGTATTTTGGACTAAACCCTTTGTGGATTTTATATTTAAGTTATAAGTATGAAAATAGCTGATTGGCCAGAACATTCCATCCCTGGATTGTGCGGGATGAGTGGTTATTTCGGAGCCTCTCTGAGGTCGCGAACTCAGTGACAGGGGCTTGGAATGGCATAGGAAGCACGTGACGTGTGCCGCCAGGTCCGGCCCGGTTTGTCCGGACGGCAGCACACGCAGATGAAAGCGCACGGACCCGCCGGCGGCCCCTCGCCCTGCCCTCCGCAGCCCGGGCCGCCGGCGCCGGGTTCCGGTAACGGGAGAGCCGGCCTGACTTCTGTCAGAGCAGCTCATTCCGCGGCATTCCAGTCATTCCATCCGGCCGGGGAGCGCTGAGCGGCCCGAGCTGTCTCTGCAAAACCTGCAAAACCTCGGAGGCCTCCTGGTCGGCTGTGGGGTCCGGCCTGGACTCTACGTAACCCTCGTCTCGCGGTGGCTGGCCTGGGGGATGGACGTGTCCTCTGCGTCCCAGCACCCCTTGCCTGCCTCTAGCCTGTGCTCGTGAGTCAATGCGCTGAGCTGTCACTGAAGACAGGGGTGTCGCACTGAGATGGGCTCAGGCCTCCGGGCTCCCTTCGCATCCAGGCCCGCCCCCCGCCCCCCACGCCGGCTGCTGTCGGCAGCTCCTGGGCACCGGGTCCGGCCCCGGGGGTGGCGCCAGCTCTGGGAAAGGGCTCACGTGCCCGAACAGAACCGCGTGTTTGTCCTAGTTCTAAGGATGGCATTACAGTGTAGGTGGTTACCTGAGTGGTGTTTAGGCTTGTGTTTTTCGTCTTTACACTCTGCGTTTCTGTCACACACACGGTTTGCAAAGTGAAGTGTGGTTTTTCCGGAGAAAGAAAGAGGAACTAACTGAAGTGCTATTATGTAGAGCGCATTTTGGCAGAATTTGTGGTCAGCAAGAAAGGGATGTGTTCCGGGCGGGGAATTCTGTTGGGTGTCAGTTTCTCCATCCAGAGGAAAGTGCTGCACAGGAGGGACGTGTGCGCCCTGTGCGGGCCAGGGTGACGGGGTGGCCGGGGTGGGACCTGCGGTGTCCCTCAGGAGCCGGCCTGCGCCGACGTCCTCGGGGCGCAGGCGGGACGGGCCGTAGGCGCTGATCGCCTGGCCCTGGGAGGAACCCCGTGCGAGTGCCTTCGGCCTTTTTGAGTTTTCTGCAGTCGCTAAGCCGCCCTCACCAGACTTAAGGGGTTAGCCTTCTTGGGGAAAATGTCAGGATTAAGGTGCCACCATATCTTTCACAGAGGAGAACGTTGGGGGCAAGATCGACATCCTGAGGCACTAGGGGCCTGGCCAGCCACGCAGCCTGGCCCGCAGATGTGAGCACAGGGGACCTGGCCTTACAGCGGCTTCGCAGGAAGCGCGGATTCCCTTCGTCTGTGCTCTCCAGCCGGAGGGGCGTCCGAGTGGTGTCCCCGGGCCTCTACGTCCCCGAGTGCAGAGCCCTGCAGTCCGCGAGCGGGGGCCCCACGTCTGCTGTCTGCCTGAATGTGCTTGGTGCTGGCACATCCAGCCGTGTCGGGCCCCGGCACCAGCAGGCGGGAGGGCCCCGGGGAGGCCCACCTGCCTCTTGGAGCACCTCTTCGTCCGGGCGGTCGGCCGGGGCGGAGAGCCGGGGGCTCCGGCTCGGCACAGTCGGTCACCATGCAGCTGTTGGCCTCCCAGCTCTGGAGGCCGTCCGGTCCCATCAGGAGGGGGTCTGCTTCCTAGAGCAGGCCCCCCTGCCGGTGTCACCCATGGGGCGGAGTGGCGCTGCCCTACAGCTCTTGGCCCTGAGGGCGGCTCGCACTGCGGGCCTGCCGGCCTTCCTGGGTAGCCGGAGGGGCGAGGGTCCGGGGGAGTCTCTGCGGAAGTTTCCTGGAGAAGGGTGTCTCGTGGCGTGGACTCGCTTTCCCCAAGGCAGACTGTGCCGAGCAGCCCCCTGGGTGGCAGAGGTGTCCGTGGAGGACCAGCTCTGCGGGGGACCTGGTAGCTGGGCTGATGACCAGGACTTGCCGCGCACCGGCTGTGAGCCAGATGCTGTGTTAGTCCGCGGGCGCCGTGGAAGCGCTCCTCACAGCGAGCGGGCTTGTCAGGGAGGCAGTTGCTTCCCCCTGCTTTGCAGGTGGGGGTGTGGGGGCGCGCCGCGGTCCCATCCCTCACCCAGGACCTTGCAGCTTGCAAATGGGGGAGCAGGGGTCTCACCGGGGAGTCCTCTGCGGTTGGGATGTGGCCGCATTGCCTCTTCGCTGCTGCAGCCGC